ACCCTAAACCCTAAACTCTAAAGTCTGGGAATCTAAGCCTTGAGGTTCAGAGCTAAGGCTTGGACACGCCATGTCTTTGAGCCGCCCGAAAGCACTGGACGTTGCAATCCAAAACCCTAAACCCTAAACNNAAACCCTAAACCCCTAAACCGGAACTGTGAACCGATCCTAACGAAAGCTTGTGCTTGAGCAGTTCGGATTTTTTCAACCAGTCACCATCAACGAACCGTAGACCGAGAGCCTAAGCAACAAATTATGTCACAACAGAGCGAAGCCAAAAGGATGTAGATTTGGCGTGGTTGAGGGTTCGGGCCGAGAATTTCGGGTCTTTCCTTCGCACATCTGGAGGAGCTCTACACACTCAACGAGCTCATTGCGAAAGGCAGTGACAAGGTGGATCGTGGTTTCGCGCAAGTCAGGGATCAGTGGACTTAGTATTAGCCAGTAGGGTTCAGAAGTAAGGTAGCTGTATGTTAATATCCCCTTTATAGCCCCGATGAGGGTACTTACAACCCTACTGACTGGCTTCCCTGCGCCTCTTCGTATGGCTCCTTGGTCTACCCTGCTTCAGCTTTAGACCCTAAACCCTGAACCGTAAACCCTAGACTCCACCAAAAGCAGATCATTACTTCGGGATCTGCAGCCCTCAGCTCTGCAAAAAGACCTGAGGGATTAAAGGGCCCCTGCAGTTTTGTTACGGCTCTAGATGCCTGAAGCCTGCCTTGGTATCATGGGAGGCGTTCTGGTAAACTTCAGGGGCAGCTGGCTACGAATGGTGTCGAAGGTTGCTTGGATCATAGAGGGCACAAAGCAATGAGCGATACTGTTATCATCTATGACCAACACATATCAATACTAGTCTCTGAGGGCTTCATGTATTTTTGCTGTGTAGGCATGCATTCATACATATATACATGTATTCAGACAGATAGATAGTTCGATAGACCGATAGACAGGCAGACAGATAGGTAGATTGTGTAGAAGCCACCAGAGTCGTTATTTAAACATCCCGATGCCCTTATGCAACCTATATAGAACATCCCCAAAGCTC